TCGTCATCTAATTCTCAGCCTGTAGTTTTTTAAAAATTAATTTACCAGAAGATTACCAAAAAGAAAATTGAGATGTAACATAAATAGAAAACAATCTTAAAACCAATTTATGGGGCCAACCATTGACATGATGGTTAAGGCAACTGGGTCCCACATGGCCTACTGCATGGTTAGAGTCCCAGACCCTGGCTTGCAAAACACTCTAGGCATGTATGTATGAGTGCACAAAATTCCAAAAGCGGGGAGAGATAATGAAGAAGGGATTGCAGCATGATTAGACCCCATGGTTGATATTTTCTCATTCTCTCTCTCTCTCTCATGCCCTCTAGAAAATTAACAAACAACAACAATTTATGTGCTAAGTAAATAATATTCTAAGCCCTGCTTTAAAGTTTGTAAGTTTCTATATATTAATCTAATGAGTACTTATGAAAATGAACTATATCAATAGACACTAAAAACAAAATGAAGTGTATATATAATGTGTGTGTGTGTGTGTGTGTGTGTGTGTGTGTATAAATAGAACAGGGGTTGGCTCAGTGTAAATTCTAACTAGGGCTGTTATTATTGGCACCAGACCAAGTTACTAAGAACAGTGGGCAGAAATGGGAATAATTTAACACTGATTCTAATTATACTAAAATTAGGTCATATTCCCAGGTATCCAGTCTTACTGCTATATAGTTGCCCATGTTTCATATGTTCAGCTTCAAAGTACAACATGAATTTTAGGACAGTGAAAAGAGCAAACTTTCCCTCCATGAGCTTTTCTAAAATATAATAATTTGCCAGTAACAAGCATGTTTCAGTCTGTGACTCCTTATCTAATACTGGCCCTCTTCTCTTCCCTTCAGTCTGTTCCACTTCTGAACTAGATTTTTCATTTTATCCACTACCTCCTGAGTCTCATTTGGTCGCTACTGTTTACAGCTCAGGCAGCCATTGTTAACTAAAAGCATGCCTTTGGATGAACATTGCTAACTCCAAGGCAATTAGAAAGCCATTACTGTTAACTCATCTTCAGGTTTCTTTCTAGTGATGCTGTTAATTAAATCAGGTCCTACAAGAAATACTTTGTGCCTAAAAGATGTCAACCTCAAAAGAAGGATGAGGTTGATAAAAAGTTTGAGCCAGAGCTTAGAACAAATTCTCCCAGATGAACAGACTGGTTTCTCAGACCCATGCTCAGCCAAAATGGACACTGAGAAAGTTAATTATATTCCAGAGGAGGGCAAGAAGAGGGGAGGTTACAAGCTATTTTACATTGGTCCATTTAAATAATACAGACAACTGATTGGCTATACCTTAATTTACATCATGAACTAGAGGACATGGAGATGAAGAAAGACCATATTGTAAAGATCTAGTACCTTTGCAGGTTTATTTACATAGTCATGGGCTTAACCAAAGCCTAAGGCTCAAGACTTGCTGACGGGGGGGTGAGGCAAGACTTGCTGAGGGGGGGGAAGGGTGTTAAAATTTTAATAGACCTTGAATTCCAAATAGTTTGGAAAGATGCTTTACTTTCTCAAAAAATATAATAATCCCTTCCTTAAAAAAAATACATATCACACTATCCTATCTTTTCTGCCCTTCTCCAGTTCTCCCTTCCCAATCCCCTTACCTCCTTGAATGATCCCAATTGAATTTGAAGGTGTTTTCATTTTTTTTCTTATCAATTTATATAGCTTCCTTTAATCTTGGAATTAACTATTTATTTTTCTTTTAAAAGTTGGTTCCAGGGAACCAGCAGTTAGCGTAATGGCTATGTCGCTGGACTCCCACGTAGTCTTTCTCAAAAAATATAATAATCCCTTCCTTAAAAAAAATACATATCACACTATCCTATCTTTTCTGCCCTTCTCCAGTTCTCCCTTCCCAATCCCCTTACCTCCTTGAATGATCCCAATTGAATTTGAAGGTGTTTTCATTTTTTTCTTATCAATTTATATAGCTTCCTTTAATCTTAGAATTAACTATTTATTTTTCTTTTAAAAGTTGGTTCCAGCACCTGACTTAATTAATCAGAATTCTGCTGAGCTTTACAGTTATTTACTTTGCTCAAACCTGTTACTCTGTCATTTCATCTTTGGTTGGCCATTTCTTTATTTACAACATTGATTAAATAGATTCTGTGTCCCAAAATTAAATTTTCATTTTGCCTTATTTTATTTTTATTTTTACCTGTTCCAGCTCCATGATCTTCTGTATAATATTATCAAGCTTTTATAATAAAAACAAAATTGCTAAAGTGTACCTTCACCAAATACCAATCATAGATTATTCTTCAAACCTTTTATCCACAAGGAATAGTCAAACCAAGAACTCAGTGATCCAACTTTACAAGTAAACGTAAATATCTTATTAGAAACAGAAGATTCCGCATGGTTGTAAGGGTGAAACAAAGCAATGCTTCTTGTTTCTTGTAAGACACTGACAAAGGCTTTGCTCAAAAGTGATGTCTATTTGCATTCACAGTGGCATGGACACATTTTTATTTATTCAAATATTTGTCCCTCTGCATCTTCATTGTTTAAAAGTAGATAGAAGTTTTATGGAATCCAAGCACAATAGTCCAAAAAGTATACCAGAGTCTCTTAGTTTTTGCTGATTGATCATGAGATTTAAGAAAAGAAAAAGAACTCACTCATTTCCAGTTTAGAATGTAAAAGTTCTACTTAGGAACTCTATTTTGATAACTTCATCTAAAAGGGGTCATCTAGTTATCATTTATACTTCACTAGAGATTCAAGTCAAAGAACGAAAAATCTGGACAAGCTCCATTAGGCTACGCATACTGGTTGATCTTATTGCACAGGCTGGGGTCACATGGCAGCAACCTATAGTCCAGCAACTCAGGAGACTAAGGAAAGAGGATCATGGCATAGTGAAATCCTGTCTAGAAAAAAAAAAAAGAATGAAAAATCATTACATAGAAAAACATATCAAATTTAAACATTTTTAATTACTGCCTCAGCAAACATTTACTTCACATTTTGTACATTTTCAAAAAATGTAGATACAAGTTCAGATTTTTGAACAATAAATACTTTTTTTATTTTTTCCTCTTTTAATTTACATTTATTCTCTGTACATCTTTATAGTGTGTGACATATTTTTTCCCAGCATGCATTTAGGCATGTCAATCAAATCAAAGATATTTACATATCTTACATATTTACATATTTTCATCAACAACAGATAATTTTTTTTGAGAGGTTTTTGCTATAGGGCGCGTGCACTTACCAGACAGACAGAGAGAGACAGAGAGACAGAAAGTGAGAAATCACCCTCCAGGGGGGATGGTCACTCCGCAATCCCTTCTCCTCCATTCTCCTCTCGGGATCTTGGGCCCGCACACACACGCGCCCTGCATGAGTTTTAAGTCACCAGGTCCGGGACACGAACTGCGGTCGACTATGTGGGAGTCCAGTGACATAGCCATTATGCCAACTGCTGGTTCCCAATTTTACATTTTTATGCCTGTTAATTTTTTTTTCCTTGAACTCATCCTTCCCCTACTGTCCATCCACATCTATCCAATAATTTTTTTTTCCTTGAACCCCTCCCTTCTTCCCCTACTGTCCATCCACATCTATCCAATCTTCGGTGTCTATGCTTACCTTTTCTGCTATTAAATCTTCCAGTCTTTCAGTTTCTGCCATAAAGTGCAGATACTCGGTATTGAGTAGGGACATATAAATCTGGCTTTCTTAGTCTAGCTTGCTTCACTTAGCATTGATTTATATTCAGCCATATCAAATGATGATGTCTCATTGTTTTTTATGACTGAGTAGTATTCCTAGTGTACATGTGCCACATTTTTTCCAATCCAGCCATCTCTTTCTGGGCATTTGGGTTGATTCCACTTCTTAGTGTAGATGTTGTTTTTAAAATGTGTAAGTAGAAGTCACCTCAACTGTCCATAAGACATAACTGATAATTTGTCTTACACTTATAACCCACATATTTTTTACTAACATAAAAGTGGAAGATGTATTTACTTTTGTGAACAACATTATCATTAAAAAATACTTACCAAAGAAATAAATTTTGGGGAAAAAAGTGCTCCCAGTTCTACAGCATCTAAAAATCTCAATCAATAATTATCTGAAGGTAAGTGTGATTTAAACTGAGTGAATCTTTAAACTATAACAATCTTGAGTTTTTCAGGGCATATTGGTGCTCTCTGAGTTAAGGTACAAGGTCATTCAGACCCTGTGGGTGCCACTTAACAGTTCTAGATTCCTCTCTTTATGCTGTCAGGGAGAGTGAAGTGTATGTTCTTTTTAGATTTTGGATTGAAAATTATACCTTTTTCTCTTCCTACTTTTCTTTCCCACATTTGCCTCCCCTCCACTTCCTTCCCTCCTGTCTCCCTTGATTCAGCTGGAAGGCTGGCACAGCAACTATCTTCACCATATCCCTGACTACAGCAAGAAAAAGAATCCCCTGTGGCGTGCAAGGAATGCAGGAATGTTCAGGAGCTCCAACTCTCCTCTTCTCCCCTGTATCCATCACCTGCTCTGCCTGACTCCTTCCTGCTTGTCTTCTCCAAGGAACACCCTGGGCACAAATCATGATTCAGCTCATTTCTCATTCAGGATAGAGAGCTTAATTTGCCAGTCTTTGCAATAGGAATAGAACTACACTTTGCTCTAGAATCTAAACTTTATAAGAGCCACATGTTCATTGCAGAAGCAAGGACAGAATGAACTTAAAAAGTTGTTTTTAACAGCCAATTGGGAAAGAGAAACTAGATTGCTTTTTTTAAAAAAACAATTCATTATTATTGAATTCATTTGTTATTTTGTCTGCAATGGAGAATGGGTATTTTTATTGTTCTTTAAAAAATAATTGTTTGGTAAGACTATTCAAAGACACTCAGAAAGTAGTTAATAAATTGCTAGAAATCTATGGCAATGATAGATTTATTTGTCCATCAAAATGCTGTCTCATTCATCTACTTGTATTGGAATGATTTAATATGCATGTTTAAGGTTCTCCTAAAGGAAAACCATCAGGAGGGAAAGTATCAGTAAAGAAATCACCTGCTGGCTCTACGGATATATCACCTACTCCCATATCGCAACCCAAGCCAGGATCTTCGGAAGAATGGGTCTATGTGAATGAACCAATTCCTGAGGTATGGCAGTTTAGAATCAAGTTAGTAAAATCCATCCTTTCTCTTGTTTATAGTAAGACTCATGCCATTATTTGGAACATCTAGAACATCTTTTATAACTAGTAATATACATATGTAGCTATCAAAAAGCTGAGATAATGGGCCAGCTCAGTGGTACAATGGTTGGGTTGGCTAAGTCTCACATGGCCAACTATACAGTTTGAGTATCTGTCCCAGTGGCTTAGGAAGCATGCCAGGAGCATGTGCATGGATGCCGAAAATCCCAAGGGAAGAGTGGAGGAGAGGGGACAGCAGCATGGTCATCCCCTCTAGGGGATGATTTCTCACATTCTCTTTCTCTCCAGTGAGTGAATACATCCTATAACCAAAAAATGAAATAAATAAAGAAAGGAAGAAAGAAAGAAGAAAGAAAGAAAGAAAGAAAGAAAGAAAGAAAGAAAGAAAGAAAGAAAGGAAGGAAGGAAGGAAGGAAGGAAGGAAGGAAGGAAGGAAGGAAGGAAGAAAGAAAGAAAGAAAGAAAGAAAGAAAGAAAGAAAGAAAGAAAGAAAGAAAGAAAGAAAGAAAGAAAGAAAGAAAGAAAGAAAGAAAAGAAAAGAAAACCTGGGAGAGTATTCTAGAGACTACTCCTTCGACATACTTCATTCTTTTCTCCTACTCACTAGAGTTTCTGAGTCATGCTTTGAACTGCCAATGAGTGCTAAAACTGAGGGAACAAATGGGTTCTATGAGGATTAATTTTCTTCCTGAGGACAAGTGGAGTTACAATTTCACAGAAGAATGATTTCCCCAGAACACATCTTTGGCAAATTTATAACTCTCTATTCATGTTCTAATATCCATATCACAATGCATTTACACGAAGTTTAGCCTCTGACTTCAGAAATAGGAGAAAATGTAATAGCTAACCAAATTCATAGAAGAACAGATGCTATCTGTGCTGAGGGCTTCAGATGGTTATACTATTGTGAAAGGGTGACCCCAGGGAACCCTGCAATCTCTATACAGCTACTTGTTCTCTGATGATCTCAAAGCTAAGTCGCCACCAAAGCACTCCTGCTTGCTTTAACAGATGAGTTATCTTGAGGAAAGAATACAGAATGGTCCTCTCTTTAAAACTTTCTCAAAAGGCATATAGCTTTTGAAAAGACCAGATTCTGGTCTCCTTCATCCCAGTCCTCAATTGTTTCTTACTCTGATGAACTCAGTGAGGACCACCTGTGCCAAGCATTTGAAACTGATCATGACAAAACCTGGTTACTGCCTTTAACTAATTTGATTTCATTTCTTTTCTCATTTAAAATTAGTTCATGGGGCCAGCAGGTGACATGGGTTAAGGAGCCAAAGCTGGACCTGGGGATCCATGGGCAATGTGTGCTAGATTTGGAAACCCATCAAAATAGTATCTGGCAATTTCCTCATGAAACTTTGATCATCTCCCATGCACACAGTGTTGATTAATGGATGAAACTTGACCAAGCAGGAGAGTTAGTCATGTACTTATGTAAAATGGTTCAAGTTGACCAGGAAGGAGAGTTAGTCTTGTGCTTATATAAAATGATCCTTAGACCTATTCTGGATACCACTTCTTTTAAGAGAGACTATGATAAACTAGAAACCAGAAAGGAGAGCCAGGTCAGAAAAAGAGGTTAAAATAATGTCAAAGGAGTGTTAAAAGAACTGCAAACATTTAATTTAGATACATAAATATTTTGAGACTGGTTAGCAATAACATCTTGGGCATTTCAAACTATCAGGTTGTTGAGAGAGTCATGATGTATTTTTCTATGTTTTTCTATTCAAAAATGTGCCATGACTTTCCAGACAACACATAGATGGAGCCATTCATTCTCCCAACAATTTACTAATAAAACATGAGATCACGTGAGTCTAGTTACATCCATATTAACATTTACTGAGCACTTTTTATGTGTGAATGCTATACTCCATTGCTTGCAAAAACAAGCAACTTGCAATTTCTATGTCCAAGGGCACAATGAGAATAATACATTTTGTTTTAAGTATTTTAAAAAAATCCCCATTGTAGGACCAGCAGTTAGCGTAATGGCTATGTCGCTGGACTCCGACGTAGTCAACCGCTGTTTGAGGCCCGGACCCGATGGCTTAAACTCATGCCAGGCGCATGTGCGTACATGCCCAAGATCCCGAGAGGAGAACGGAGGAGAAGGGATTCCAGAGTGGCCATCCCTCCTGTGGGGTGATTTCTCACTTTCTGTCTCTCTGTCTATCTTGCTGGCTGATGAGTGCACGCACCCTGTAGCAAAAAAAAAAAAAAAAAAAAAAACCTCTCCACAAAAAAGCCCCACTGCAAGGTATCTTTTTAAGTATGAGCTTATTGATTAGGGACTATGGAGGGAAGGGGGACCCAGGCAGAAAGAATACCTCAGTGGATTCAAGAGCAGAAGGTTTTGGTACACAGCTTCAGCAAGCAAGTCTGGCAGGAAGGCAAAATCTTAAAAGCAGTGTTGAAGTGTTTTCAGCTCTTGTGAAAATCTGTGACCTGCTTGGACCTTATCTGCTAGTTAGTGGAAGCCATGGATTTTTTCAGCAAGGAAAACATGTTAGAAGCTGTTTTCAAAACAGTAACTCAGAAAAACTGTGGAGTGAATAGTTTAAAAAACATGTGCTCTGATTAGTCTGCCTATGTTCAAATCCCAGTTGTCACTCAGCAGCAGCATGACCTTGAATAAGATTTTTCACCTCTTTTGCCTCAATCACCTCGTCTTGAAGTGGGAAGGAAAATAGAACCAGCCCCACTAGGTTGAGGTAAAAATGTAACGAGTTAGTACACATAAAGCCCTATTATCAGTGTCTGGCACGAAGTAAGTTCTCAGCAAATATCAGCTATCTGGGGAATGGAAGGAAATTCAGGAATATTGATAAGGACCTAGAGACCTGTCAGGACATTCCTGTTTCACTCTAGACAAGAGCAGGCAAAGGCCTGAATGGAACAATGGCATTGGGAAGAGGAGAAAGTAGGGACAGCATCTGGGCACAGTTCAGGAACCAGGTCTTGCCCACTTCTCAGACATCATCTTCCTCCACTCCCACTGTGTTCCACCAAGCCCTACTCACACCAGTCTGCATTCTGTCCCTTAAATAGATCAAGCCTATTGCCACCACGGCGACTTCACACCTGCTGTTCCTGCTGCCCAGAATGCTCTTCTCCCAAATCTTCCTTCTTGTAAATGACAACTCCAATATCATCTAAACTTAGAGGCCTTCTCCGCCCCTCTTGAAACCTGAAGAATTACTTCGAATAGTAATTAGCTGTGGGGAAGAAGGAGGACAGGAGCAATAGGTTGCACAGGAAGTACTTTAAATAGCTGCATCTAGAACTTCTTGCTTAATACTGTTCTTTTGATTCAATTTTTCAGAAGAATTATTGTGAAGTAACAATATCTCTGTTTCACCATTTAACAGGAAATACCTTCATTTTTAGTACCTTACTGGGAACTAATAGAAAATTCCTATATAAACACCATCAAAACAGTACTCAGGCATCTGCGAGAAGATCAGCATACTGTTATTTCTCACTTGTATGAGATTCGGTAAGTAAAATTTCCAAAGTCAAAATCTTGCGATTCACAAGCATGACATATAAGATCCATCTCAATCTCTTAATGCTTTGCAGAACAAGTTTCCAGGAGTTTCTAAGGCGTCCAGATCACAAACAAGATTTCGTAGCTCAGTGGCAGGCTGATTTCAACTCTCTTCCTGATGACCTGTGGGATGATGAAGAAACCAAGGCTGAACTACATCAGAGAGTATACGTAAGGAACTCTGTGACCCGCAGGGCCAGCATCTCTACTCATGTCGTATTTTGGCCTGTAAAGCCCCAATGCATTCCATTCTCGCTTTTATGGGGTTTGAGAATAAGAAAGGAAATGGTTTAAATGCTTAATGCTAATTTTGCCGAAGCATGAGCTTTCTGCACTTTGAGTTCTGAATGCAAATACCATGGCAATGCTTCTGGGAAGAGAAGTCATGATTGGCAGTGCAAAAGCATATTTAGCATCTGTTTCATAGCTTGCTAATCCCTTCGTTAGTCCATATAGAGATTATCTAAAGTCTTGGAGTTCATTATTAGAGTATAGCTCTGTGTCCATGTCTGCTATTAATCACATGGCTATCTGAAAGTCGGTTTACCATTTGGATGATGATAAGGAGAAGGGGTATGAGGGAATTGTATGCAAAACCTAAGCAGTTAGGTCATGTAGATCTCCTAGGGACAGGAACTAAATCTTACACATATTTGTATCTCCAGCACGTACACTGGTACTTGGTATATAAGCATATTTAAATAAATTAATGAGTGATATATGCTTACCCTGATGCTTTAGAACAGGTTCTCTGGGTAAGCCATAGGGGTGTAGGCAGTGGGAGTACTACAAAGCTGGAAACCATGTGGGAAGGTTCTGGGTTCATATCCCAGGTCTACCTCAACACTCCAGGTGTTACCATGGATACCCATGATCCTGGCTAGCTTCAGGACTGGGGGGAGGATCACAACATGAAGACTCTATCAAAGGTCCCTGTATGTCTAGCTTGCTTTCTCCGCTCTCTCTCTCTCTCTCTCATAAAATAAATAAATAAATAAGGTTTTTTCAAAAGAGATAAAGAAGAGGGACCAGCAGTTAGCATAATGGCTATGGCGCTAAACTCCCATGTAGTCGACTGCGGTTCGAGTCCCAGACCCAGTAGCTTAAACTCATGCTGGGTGTGTGTGTGTGTGCGTGTGTGTGTGCCCAAGATCCCAAGAGAAGAATGGAGGAGAAGGGTTTGTGTTGTGGCCAGCCCCCTGGGGGGGTGATTTCTCTCTTTCTACCTCTCTGTCTCTTTCTGGCAAGTGCAAATGCTCTATAGCAAAAAACCTCTCCAAAAAAAAAAAAGAGAGAGAGAGAGAGATAAAGAAGAGACCCTGATATATGAGAAGCTTGATTTTAACTTCATACCTTTCATGTTTCCTCTGTAATTGACACACCTCACTATCCTGTTAGAAGGCTCTCTTGCCACTACCTTAAGTATAGACTAACAGTGAAATCTGATTATGATCTCAATATTTATTTGTGCAATAGAAACATTGTCAAACTTTATCTCATGGTGCATCATCTGTACTCCAAATATTTATTGAACATCTATCATAATCCTGGCACCGTTCACAGGGCAGGGACTCAGCAGTGGACCAAAAGTCTATGACCATATGATGTTGATGTTCTAGTGGCCAAAAGTCAGAGGATAAGCAATGAACAAGTAAATATTGAGCATGTCACTGGTTGTAAGAGCTACATGGAGAGCAAAAAAGCAGAGCAAGGGAAAAAGGAACATTTGAGTGCCATTTTGTATGTCGTGGTTGTGGAAAATCCAAGGAGAAGGTGACATTTAGATAGACTCAGAATGAAAGTTGGAAATATGTGGATGCAGTATCTGGAAGAGGGTGTGTCAGGCACAGAGGACAAAAGGACAAAGGCTCTGAAAGGGGAGGATACTTGGTATGTTTTAAGAACAGTGAGAGGCTGCATTGGAGCAGAGTGAGTGTGGATGAGAGTGGTTGGTGAGGAGGTCAGAGAGATTATTTAAGGCCTTGGAGTTTATTACTAGAAAGTAGTATTTGTCTGAGTGAGATGGGAACTCTTGGCTTCTGGTTTGAAAGAGTCTATATGGAATAAAAACAGCAGGGAAACTAGCAGAAAGATCAATTAAGAAGCTCTTTTGATAGAGGTAAGGCACCATATGGCTTGATGGTGAGATCAAAGTACTAAATGTTTAACCTGAAAGGTGTTGCAAGGCCTTAGTAAAGCAGAAGTATTTTATCTCTAAGACTCTTTATATATTGAGGATATAAAGCATTTGTTGATCATATGTCACAAATATGTTCCTAGATTGATGTTTGCTTCATATTATTTGAGTTTTAAGGACCAGCAGATGGCATAGCAGTTACTTCGCTAGATTCAGTTTGACTGACCACAATTTGAGACCCAGACCCAGTGGCTTGAAAATTGTGTGTGCATGCATGTCTAAGATCCCAGGAGGACAGCAGAGGAGAAGAGATTGTGGCATGGCCAACCCCACTGAAGGGTGGTTTCTCACTTTCCCTCTCACTGTCTCTCTCTCTGGCTCTCTGGCAAGTGTGCATACCCTAAGACAAGAACTCTCAAAAAAAAAAAAAAAACAGAAAAGATGTTTTATATACAGAAAATTTTTCATGTTTATGTAGGTAAATACAGAAAACTTTTTTTTTATATCTTATTTAAAAAATACTCCAACTCCACCCCCAAGTCAATACAGGTACACAACTATTTTTACTCCTTTTTTAGTCTTATATTTTACTTTAAAATACTCAATTTATTCTATTCCTTTAATAATGATCTCATTTTAATTTTTCCAGAAACCTGATCAAACAGTGTGAGAAGACTCTCAACTATATTAGCATAGAGTTTTTTTAATATTTACATTTATGCATGTGAGGATATCTGTTACATATGGTGTATACATTCACTTTTGGGTTTTCTTTTTCCTTGACTTCTAGTGAGACAGAAAAGAATAGAAATAAAAATAGCTTCAAAAATAAGCTAGAGGGAACCAGCAGTTAGCGTAATGGCTATGTCGCTGGACTCCCATGTAGTCGACCGTGGTTCATGTCCCGGACCCGGTGGCTTAAAACTCACGCTGGGCGTGCATGCGTGCATGCCCAAGATCCCGAGAGGAGAATGGAGGAGAAGGGATTGCGGCATGACCATCCCCCCTGGGGGGTGATTTCTCGCTTTCTGTCTCTATGTCTCTCTCTGTCTGGCTGGCGAGCGCACGCGCCCTACAGTGAAAATCTCTCCAAAAAAATAAATAAATAAATAAGCTAGAAACTAAACCTGGAGCCCAGCACCTTAACCACCATGCTAGATAATGGAAAAAAGGATTAATTGAGGATAAAACCAGTATCTGGAAACTTGGAAAATAAAGAGCATTAAATTAAAAATACCAAGCCAGATAATAAGAAACCTGGCTATAATAACCAAGAGGAAGTGGGTGGCTCCCTGGCTCAGCAATAGTTCTGTACTCAAGAGAAGCTGGATCTCATGCGGCGATCATGGTTAGAATCCCCAGTACAGTTGGCATGTGTGCAAGTGCCCAAGATCCAATGGACAGAAGACTGGAGGAAAGGATTGTGGTATGACTAGACTCCATGGGTAGTGCTCCTCTCCTATTCTCTCTTACACACTTCTTGATTATTATCATTCCCTTTATTTAAGAATAGTCAGGGAAAAATAAAACCTTACTTCTGGAAGAAATTTGGATATTAAATAATATCCATGTATACTGTAAAATAACATATTTAGTTTCTACTTGGAAGGTTTAATAAGTTTTGGCAAAGTCAATATCATTAAAGATTTTGTAACTTTTCATAGTAGTAGATCCTCAGCAGCAGTCTATAGTAAACTTGTAAATTTAAAGAAATAAGTAAGTAAATCTGCCTTTGCTTCATCCCCTATGATCAAATTCATTAGATTTAGGATAGGTCCTTATATCTGTTCATTTTTAAAAGTGTAATAGGTAATTCTGATTGAAATAACTGCTCTCTGTTTTTGTTTTGTTTTGTTTTTGTTTTTGTTTTTGTTTTTTGTTTTGTTTTACATTCTCTATTTAGATGATCTTGTAAAAACTGATGAAAGGAAGTTAAACATTTCTGTGACTATTACATTTCTTTTTTTTTTTCTTATAAGAGATTTTTGCTATAGGGATATGTGATCACTGGAGAGACAGAGAGAGAGAAAGAGACAGAAAGCAAGAAATCATCCCCTAGGGGGATGGCCATGCCTCAATCCCTTCTCCTCCATTCTCCTCTTTGGATTTTAGGCACACATGAACATATGCCTGGTGTGAGCCTCAAGCCTCTGGGTCTGGGACTCAAACTGTGGTCGTTTATGTGGGAGTCCAACAACATAATCATTACACCATCTGCTGGCCCCTCTATATTTCTAAATATATTTCTTGCTACAGTTTTTAGTTTATAGTTTTTAGTTTTTTTGTTTTGTTTTAAATTATTTATTTAATTCCATTTGTTATTATTTTATTTATTTATTATTATTATTTTTTATTATTATTCATACACTAAATTGCTGTACATCTTTTAGATTGTGAAGAGACTTTACCCAGCATGATATATACCTCAGTCCAGCCCAGTTGAGACCACACACAACGT